AAAAAAAAAAAAAGCAAAGCAGTTAATGTATTTGTTGCAATGAAACTTTTCACATTTACTTTTTTTTTCACAATTAACTCACCAGTGCAAGAATACATGCAGTTACACCAGTACCACACGACGTTATTATAGGGCTTTCCAACGAGATTCCTGAAAAAGATCGAGTTCATCATAACAGGCTTCAAACATATGCCGACATTTTTCTTTTTATTTTTGGAAAAAAAAAATGTAGATAATAGAAATACAATAGCAACATTCGAACCTGCTTCTTCATATTTCTTTTTTAGTACGTCTGCTGGCAAGAGTGTGTGTGAGCCATCTAACATCTGCATGAAAAGAGATAACATCAATATGCATGTGATTGATTAGCTGAGTTGCGATGAGAAGCTAATACAGAAAAAGTTTTCTGAAAGCTAAACTCCGATAAATCATATGTTGTAATAATAAGGGGTATATATATCCTTCTACCTGGGTAAAAGGGATACATTTACTTCCAGGAACATGACCACTTCTTATTCCTTTTCGAGGCTCGGGTGCCACCCCATCAAATCTGTAAATATTGTGAATGCAAAATTTACGATATTTTGAATCTAAATACCATTAATATAACAAAGTGTCATAAATCATAATATACCGAGATTTTGAGCGAGCATCTACATGCTGATGTGTTTGCTCCTTAATATTTTTCTGAACCTGAAGGAAAACAATAAATAAGAAAGAAAGAAAAACAAAGCTAGAACATAAAAGTATATGCATAGATTGATATGTTGCTAATGAAGTGAAAAAGACGTGATTTCTATGCAAGAATCCAGATCATTATCGCATTAGTGTATAGTCACATAGATTCAAACAAATGCTAGAAAAGAGTGCATCTCAAGCTTATTCTGTACGTTTGGACAAACTCAAAGTGTTTACCTTATATAGATATTAGCTTTTCATGTTAGAAGTTATGTTTGTCTCACATCGATTAGTTATTGGGTCGTTATTATGTATAAATATGAAGCGGGCTTTGGGGGATGAGTTTATACGGTCACATGCAACAAGAGAATAGAACTCGAAAGAAAGAAGTATATGTATAGATAAAATCATATTTAAAATAAAATAAAAGAACCTCTTCAAGTGACCAGACTAGCTGTTTCTGAAAGTAGGTTTGGAAAGTAATTGGTCCAACCTGCACAATATCAAGTACTTAGTTTACCAAATGAAGCAATGCAAGCATAATGGTTTTTTTTTTTACTTGAATACTATGAAATTGAAAATACAATTCTTGAAAAAATCCACAAGTATATCACCCCAAAAAGTCGCTGAGGCTTTGAACTACCTCGAACAAGGACACTAGCGGTAGGGCTGTTAACGAACCGAACGCTCGCGAACAAAATCTCGTTCGCGCTCGACAAAAGCTCGTTCGCTTGTTAATCGAGCCGGAAATCGAATAAAAAAAATTAGGCTCGTTTAATTATTGAACAAACATGAGCTCGTTCACGAACGTTCAATAAAGTTCACGAACATTAATTTAATATAATATTATTTTATATTTTTTATATATATTTACATTATATTTTTAATAAATAATCTATATTGTAAATATATATATATATATATATATATATATATATTTTTTTAGTCCGAACGAACAAATTTCTAGTTAACCAAACACATTTTAAAAATTTTATGTCCTAATTTATTCGATCACGAACGAACTCGAATTCTGACGAACAATTAAACGAACGAGCTCGAACACGATTTGTTTGCTCAAAAAATAAACGAACGAACACGAGCTCGAAAAGCCTAAGCTTGGCATGTTCGGTTCGATTACAACACTACTAACTAGAGGGAACTACGTGAAACTTGATATTTAAATCGATAAAACATGTGGCTTATACCCGTTGTCCTTGGTATACTTTCTCGATCGCCTCACTTGCTGCACTAGCTTTCAAGATAGCATCACTCGAAGCACTCGATTCGACATCATATCCCGAAGCACGCCATCTCGGGAGCCCTCCATCCAATACCCAAATCCGGTCGTGCCCAAAAACTCGAAACATCCTGTTTAATTGTATTAAAAATCAGATACTAGAATCATTAGCTATAGACGTGTCTCGAGTAATAGAAAAAAAAAGTATTGTTTGGTTTTCAATTTGCATAAGTCGAAAAACTCACCACCAAACACGAGCTGCACTGAATATTCCCTTTCCATCATAAACAACAAGACCATCTTTATTGTCAATGCCAAGAGCAGAAACAGCAGCAGCAAATGCTTCTTCTGATGGCAGCATATGTGGCAACTGCTTAAAAGATGACAGGTATAAATAAATTACTAAAATGTAATTGAGTACGAATATATGAAATTTTTTGAATAAATATTCTGGACAAGAAAATAGAAAACTAATACTATATCTAAAACTCTCATCGAATATGAAATTTATCTCCTCGTAAGCAAGAAAAAGACTTCTTACATTTGTGGTGCGATCTGCTATGCCATCGACATCAAAGAATAGTGTACCGGGAATATGTGCAACCTGTTCGAACAAATAGAATGAATATCAGTCTCAAGCAAATCATATAAATAAATCAACCACTAAAGCAGATCAATATCAATCATCTACCAAGTGTAGCTAATTATTGGAATATTAAGCATAAAGGTAAGAACGTAGATAATTTCTGAAGTTTATTTGCTCTAGCAATCATGAAAATGCAGATATCATCAATAATGAAGCTGCGCAAGACACCTGATACTCTTGAAGTGGATTTCTCTTTTCATCGGGCATGTACCATGAAGCATCCAGCACCTGGAGATATTTAAAACTAATACATATAAGATATCGTCACCAATGAAAAGAATAGAGAAAACCAGACCTCTCATTTACATATAGACTGGCTTTTACAGTTCTACTACACTCAATCATCCCAAGTAAAATTGAGAAATAAATTTGAACAAAATGGAAAATTGAAGAGATCAATATGGTTATCTTTTCTATCGTTTCGGAAAAAAAAAAAAAATATGGTTATCTATTACTATTACGAGTGTCCAGAGAGCAAAAAAACCGGTTCTTCAATACCATAAAACTGAAAAAGAAAATATCCTAATATCCACCAATAACCATAACATACAAACACTCTCATATTACACAATCTGCTCTATCTCATCTTTAAGCCAAAAATAAATAAATAAATAAACGAGGCAGAATATACAGGGAAAAGATACACAATTAATTTTCACATGAACTGCAGTATTTGTACACAACTTGGAAAATATAGATAACCAGGTGACTTTCAGTTCAAAACAAAGTTGTAGACCTTCACATCGGGCTCTCGGAGGTTGGCATGGAGCCAGTCAACTGAGACAACAGGCTCGTTGATCGACAAGGAATGCAAAGAGTATGAGGCCTGCGATGCAAGTGCTGATGAAGACATGCTACGACAAATGCATCTTGAAATTATATATGCCGAATGGGAGGAAACTGGCCCCAAGTGGAAAGCCCTCTTCTGCAATAACAAAATTTATATTATCTAAGATTTAGTAAATGTAATGAATTCTAGAAGCCCTAGGATGTGACATCCTTTTATATATCATAAACCTTCACCGGATATCAGATTTCCTAAACGAAACAGACGAGTCTATCCAAGCTGTAGATGATAATCGGGTAAACAACTTCTACTCTTACGAGCAATTTGCAGTGATGAGGCTTAACTTCATAGTAATAAAAACCCACTTAGGAAATATAAAAAAGATCCTAAATTTCAGCTTTACGACGTTTACCCGAGTCTTTTCGTCGTTAAGGAATCAAAGTATTCAATTCAGGTTTGAGACCTATCACACACACATAAACACGCAATTTCACTACTTCATGTGCTTCATTATTATTCACTATGCGAAGCTCACAAACATCAAAGTTTATCACAAGAAAACCACAGCTAATCAAGAATCGGCTAAACCGACACAAACTCTGCAGCAAAAAGAACGAGCACACAATCAACATGAATTGCAACAGAAAGTAATACAACTTAACCCCGATAAAGGGAGTCTGAAACAGAGTTAAATTATGAAACTGAATGTAATGGAAAATCTTTCGACGTACTGCGACAGAATGCGATAATTGAGGTTTCTGAAAGAATGATGTAAGTGAACATGTAGATAAACTTCGACGGACACGACAGGCAAAGAGGGCTTTGGATAAAACGGCGGATGCCATTTATGTGACTGTAATAAAAGGCGATAAAATCAGACTGCCCACCAAAAAAAAAAATCAAAAATGTGATCTTTGTCTTCTTCAGCTGATCAGGGTATCAAATCATTAGAAGGATTTAAAGAACAAGCGAGGGTTTTGCCAATTCAGAGTGGACATTTGTGTTTTGCAGAGTGAATCAAATAAAAACGCCGCTAGAATCAGTTTAAAGGGAGGTGTCTGAGGTCTGAGGGTATATTTCGCTTTTTAGGGAAATTAATATTCGACCATGTGCATTTGTACGAAAATAATAATTATATAATGATTAATTATTTTTCCTTCACCTTTTGGTTGGCCAAATTTACAACTAAAAGGAGTTGGAATATTTATTTATTTTTTTAAATTGTGTTTATCTGATTGGATGTAATGTATATTTTAGTACGTCTTCTTTAAAAAATAATTTAATGTAATCACAATAATAACATCTAATCACATTATACGGTAAACACATTAGATGGTCAACTGTCAGTAATCAAAAGTTTAAAGTGATTTTTGTAATTTTGAAGTGATTAGTGTTGATTATTTAACAACTCGATGCAAAAGCATCCTTCTGCTCGAAGAAAAAGCAAAGTTTGTCTCCGACGGAACTCGACGGGGATGGTGGCAGGAAGAAAAGAGTCGCCGAAGGGATGCTCGCCGGGACTGCTCGCCGGACAGCTACGGAGGTGTTGCACTCGCTGGGACTGCTGGAACTGATCGCCGAGGGGAGCAGCAGGTGGATGATGGCCGACACCGCACAACCAGTAGTTGCTCTTTTCAACTTCATAGCACCCTTCTGTTTCAAGGCCAACTTCTGTTGGTGTATACAATACAACGAGAAATTGAATGAGGTTCGACATCTTCGCTTCTAAAGTTGGGGCGATTACATTGAGGGAAGGCTACTTTATTAGGATTTGGGGAGCTCCCCTTTCTCGCATTGTTTGAATCGCCATTCGTTGGCCCGCCTGAATCATGTAAATAGTGCCCCTCTTTACGGGCATCTCTCCCCTTTTCTCTCCTCGACCATCGTTGCCACGCCTCCTCTTCTCTGCCTCACCCCATCAACCACCTTTCTCCCTTCCAGCATCATCCTCTCCATCATCCTCCCTATCACTCTCGCGAGTCGCGCCTAGTGTTAAATTGCCACATAAATAAAATTAAATAAATTTTATTAAATGCTATTAGCTAGTATTTATATATAGACATAGAAGCTAGCAATTATAAATATATTATTATTATTAAACAATTGTTTATAAGATTCTAAAGTTGTTTGACTATGCTATTAAAACAATTTACTAATTGTTTTTAAAGAAATTTTTTCATGAGATACAAAAGAAAAAGATAATATTTATGTTAAAATAAATAACTTGAAACAATTGTGTATAATTATGAAATTTATATTTATTGTGAATTATTATTAGTTGGTATTGGCAATAACTATTATATAATATAATAGAAGCATACATGATTACACTCAATAGGATGTATTAATGTGAGAAGTAAAAAAAAATATTAATGATAAGTTTTGTAATCGAAAATGGAGGGAAAATTTTAGAGGTTTCATTAAATAGGTTTTATTAAATGTTGTATGCCAGCAATTATATATATAGATTTCTTCAACTTGGATTACACTTATTTAATTAGTTAATAAACTTCTTATATTTAACTAAACTTATTAATTTGATAAAAATATTTTTAAAACATCCCCTATATATAATTTCCGAATTTGCTGAGCCTAAGTGGCAGGTTCGCATTCTTCGGAATCCTAGGTGTCAAAATTCCATGTTTTGTTATTTGGCTTTGATAGTTTTATATTTAATTCCAATCCAAAACTAATTAGGTTCGGATTACCATAAGTATGCTGTTTATTTATGATCATTTTAAATTTATTAGTTATATTTTGATATAATTTTTATTATAACTATTGAATTGTAAATATATTTTAAAAGTTGATTTTGTATTTCTTATCGATTTTACATATATAATGTATCAAACTAATCATCTTTTGATGAGTTTCGATTTGAAATCCATATTGTATATATAAAATAAATAAATTATATTTATTTTTATAATAATAAAAATATATTTATTAAAATTAATTACAAAATAAAATTATCTCTCAATTAATATATTTATGTTTAATGTAGTTATATGTTATAAATTAGAAAAATTATTATAATATAACACATGTAAGTCGCACAAGTAACAAGTGTCATATTAATATATATATATATATATTATATAAATATAATATAATATATATATTTATAATATATATTTATATAGATATTATATATATATATATATAT